TCAAAACGACCTTAGGTTCATCTATACAAAACGACCTCGGGTCTAATACTCATTCATAGACCAACTTTAGGACTAATGAATCCATGTACCAAGGACCACCGGTCCTCCATATCATATCACTAAATGACCTTGGGTCCACCATTCTTATATTCATAATTATGGGCATATGATCATGATCACATCCATACTCTTATTCAAAACAACCTTTGGTCCAATTTGTATATAAGATGACTTTTAGTCTATCTTGTTAAGCATTCCAAAGGGGCTTAGGCCCAATCCGTGTCCCTGTCTAATATCCCAAACGGCCTTAGGCCCAATCTGTGTCCTCGTCAAACATACCAAATGGCCTTAGGCCCATTTCATACTCATATATCAATCACTTCACATGCTTTATTACGAATCATGCAAATAGAATACTCATTCATAGTACAAATTCATAGAGTCAGAAATTTTGCACGTAGGTAACATTTAGAAAACAATGCATACATAAAAATATCTTTGTTAAGATATTACTCACAGTGTTCCGGTCCTTGATTCGTCCTTGCGCTTGACCCTACATAATTCATAACACATTAGGTCATAATACAATTCATTTCGTTCTTCAATTTACTTAATGTTCTTAGGCTTCTTCCATGCTCTTTGATTCATTTAGTGTACTCAATGCATGCCTAAGAGTGCTTAGAAGTGAAAAAAAACAAAAAAACGAAACTAAAACATCTTTTCAAAATTTCTGAAGTGGGCCCTCTGCTCAAGTGCAGCTTCTTTTGCTCGAGTAGGGATTCAAAAGTAAGGGTGGTCGCTCGAGCATAACTTCCATCGCTCGAGTGGTCTATAAAAGTACTAGTTGCGTGAATTTCCCGCTCAACGGTCGCTCGAGTGAAAGAATTCTCAATTCAACATGATGAGAAATCACAATAAATTCATGCATGCATGCCCAAGTTGATCTTAAATTCAACCCATTTAGCTCAAGTCTCATATTTATCAACATATACTTCTTGAATTCACATAGTTATGAACTTAAACTCATAAATTTGGGTTCAATTACTCACCTAGAGTCCTTAACTCTTCCAAACCTAGTTAGTTCTTGAGCCTAGTTCTTCAATTCTCCAAGCTTTGAGCTCAAGTCCTCAAATTTGAGCCTATTTTCCCTCACAATCACACTTTCTCTCTCTATATAGGCCTTTCTCAAATTTTGCAAGGTTAAGAGCTCAACATTATGAGCCTAGGCACCTGCAATTTATATATATATATAAATATTGGTTATTAGTTTGACTAATCATATTTGCTTAGAGTTAATCAATTGTACTTAGTTTAATCAATTTAATCTAATTATTTTGATCTGAATTAGTTTTCAATTAAATTCCACCATAAGCTCCAAAAATTATGCTAATCGCAATAATACGGCCAATTTTGGTTTATGTCGCCTCTACGGCCTTCAATTTAATTTTTATAACAGAAAATCAGACAGATTTTCCTGCGGTGAACAGATATAAATTCACAAACACCCATAATCATATAATTAGCACTCAAAATCATATCAAGCTCATAATTATAAGTATAATTAAGATTAATTAACATAGCACAGAATAGGGTTGGCACATTTTTCCCCTCATTAGGAAGTTTGGTCCCCCAAACTTATGTTACCTTTCGTTGAAAACAAATGTGGATAATGTTGTCGCATTTCTTCTTTTTTTTTTCCACGTGGCATCCTTACCATAATGTTCTTTCCATTCTACTTTCACCATTGGAATGGATTTGTTCCTCAGCAACTTTACTTGTCGGTCGATAATCCGTTCTAGCCATTCCCTGTACTCCATATTTTCATCAAGTGCTATTCAATGATAGTCAATCATGTGGAACAAATCTCAGAGATAGCCCCTCAAAATTGACACATGAAACACATTGTGCATTTGTTCCATTCCCGACGGTAAGGCAACTCTATAGGCAACTGGACCAAGCCTTTCCAAGATTTGTAACAGCCCAACGTAACGAGGTGATAGTTTATCCTTCTTGCCGAACCTTAATTGGCCTTTCATCGAATTTATACGAATGAACACATGATCACCAACCTCATATTCAGGAGGCCTTCTCTTAACATCCGTATAACTCTTTTGCCGGCAGTGAGCTGTCTTAAGCATTTGTTGAATAACTTTGATTTTATCAGTAGTTGTCTACACAAGCTCGGGCCCAAGCAAGACTCTATCCCCAACTTCAGTCCAGCATATTGGAGATCTACATTTTTGGCCATACAAAGCTTCATATGGTGCTATGCCAATGCTGGAGTGGAAACTGTTATTATATGCAAATTCGGCCAATGGTAGGTAAGTTTCCCAACTCCCTTGAAATTCCAAAGCACACATTTAAAGCATATCTTCTAGAGTCTGTATAGTCTGTTTCGATTGTCCATCAGTTTGTGGATGGAATACTATACTAAGCCTCAACTCTGTTTCCATTGCTGCTTAAAGACTCTTCCAAAATCTAGATACAAATTTCGGATCTCTATCCGACACAATAGACATTGGAACTCCATGTAAAAAAAATCTCATCAACATAAATAGTAGATAATCGATATGCATCATGCGTCGATTTTATAAGCAGAAAGTGTGCAGACTTAGTTAGTCTATCAACTATAACCCAAATGGAATCCATACCTCTAGGTGTCTGAGGTAGGCCAACAACAAAATCCATGGTTATATGTTCCCACTTCCATTCCGGAATAGGGAGAGGTTGGAGGAGGCCTGCTGGTTTCTGGTGTTCAACCTTAACTTGCTGGCATTGATGACATTTAGACACATATTCTGCAATCTCGCATTTCATATTTGGCCACCAATAACTCTACTTTAGGTCCTGATACATCTTTTTGTTCCCCAGATGCATAGCAAACATCGATTTATGAGTTTAGTTGAGAATTCTCTTCTTTAACTCAAGAATATTCAGAACACACAATCTGTTTTGGAATTTCAACACTTCATTTGCAACACTATATCCCGATTTTGGATTCGTTTCAAATTCATCAACTATCTTTTTGAGGACTTCATCCTCTTTTTGTTTCTGTTTGATCTCATCAATGATTGTTGGTTTGGCTAAAATGGCTGCTATCAATCTGCTTTGTTCATGTAATACCACTTCAATCCCGGATTTCTCAAAATCTTGCAAGATCTCTTTTTATTCAATAAGTAAGCAAGCCAAACTCCCCATCGATTTTATGCTCAAGGCATCAGCAATTGTATTGGCTTTCCTGGAGTGATACTGAATTTGAAAATCATAACCTTTTATCAGTTCCAGCCATATTCTCTGCCACATATTCAACTCTTTCTGAGTAAAGAAATACTTCAAACTTTTGTGATCTGTATAAACTTCGCACTTTGCCCCATACAAGTAACACCGTCAAATATTTAAGGCAAATATTACTACGACTAATTCTAGGTCATGTGTTGGGTAGTTCTTCTCATGTGGTCTCAATTGTTGAAAAGCATAAGTAATTACCCGTTCATCCTGCATTAACACACACCCCAGACCCTTATAAGACGCATCACTAAAAATCACAAAGTTTTTTGTACCTATAGACAATGTCAACACTGGTGCAGTGGTTAGTCTCGTTTTCAGTTCATGAAAAGCAGATTCTCTTTCGTCATTCTATTCAAATGGTTGTCCCTTGTGTGTCAGTTGGGTAAGAGGTATAGTTATTTTTGAGAAATTTTGGACAAACCTTCTGTCTTTACCTTCAACTGGTGGTAGTCGAATCTCAAATCAATCTTTGAAAAGACTTGTGAACCCTGTAATTGATCAAATAAATCGTCAATTCAGGGTAATGGATATTTACTTTTGACCGTTACCTTGTTTAGTTCCTGGTAGTCAATGCACAAACATAAGGTTCCGTCTTTCTTCTTTACAAATAACACGGGAGTGCCCCATGGTGAAGTACTTGGTCGGATAAACCCTTTGTCTAATAAGTTCTGCAACTATTCTTTTAGTTCTTTCATTTCAGTAGTGGACATTTTGTAGGGAGTTTTTTAGGTAGGCTGGGTGCCTAGAACAACATCAATAGTAAACCCTATTTCCCTGTCTACTAGTCCACTTGGCAGTTCATCAAGAAATATATCCGGAAATTCTCAAACAACAGAAATATTATTCAATTCAACATTCATAGACTGTTCGGACGACACACAACACAAGTAACCCTGACACCTTTTCCTGATCAATTTACATGCTTTCATTGCAGATAGCAAATAGGGTGGAGGCGCTACCCCATTACCCACAAATTCAAATTTAACATGCCCTGGTGATTTAAACACAACCTGTTTTGTCACACAATTGATAATGGCACAACATTTCGATAGCCAATCCATACCTAGAATTATATCAAAGTGTCGAATGTCCAAAGGTAACAAATCCACATATAAGATAGTATTGCCAATTCGCATATCACAAACACGATAAACAGATGTACATAATACAGATTCCCCAAATGGAGCCGATACATATAGTAAATATGGCAATGATTCTAAGGGTCTAGTCAATCTAGATGCAAATATAGTAGACGCAAAGGAATGTGTTGAGCCAGAATCAATTAACACAAAAGCATCTTGATTGCATATAGAGATAGTACCTGAGACAACGGCATCAGTATTCCGTGTGTCACCTGGGACAAGTGCAAAGACTCTCCCCTGTCTCATTATGTCTCTAGTGGTAGTAGGTCTCGTAGTATTACCCGGTTTTGGGATAGATCCGGTCGAACTAACAGCTAGTCTCTCATCTTTTGGTTGTTCAGTTTGGGTGCAATCTCTTGCCATATGCCCCATTTCCTCACATCTATAGCATGCCCCAGAAATATAGTAACAAACTCCACGGTGCTTCTTACCACATTGAGTACATGTTGGCGCCGACCTCGTGTTTTGTTTCTTTGATGGCTTCTTTCCTGAGAAAAAGCTTTGTCTTTTACCCTTTCAATCGGCTAGAGCCTTGCCTTGGTTGGCCATGTTAGTCTCTGACATTAAGGCTCAGTCTAATACATCAACATATGTGGGCAATTTTAACACATCTACCCTCTCTAAAATGTCATTGCGAAGACCATTTTCAAACTTCCTCGCCTTTTTGTAGTCGGTGTCAACCATATGCGGGGCAAATCTAGCCAATTCGGTGAACTTGGTTTCATACTCAGCCACGATCATATTGTCTTGCTTTAACCCTTCAAATTCTGACACCTTTCTATCGTGGACACACTGAAGAAAGTATTTCTCATAAAAGAGTGCAAGAAATTGTGCCCAGTCAATGCCTTTATTATCATCACGGACCAACATCCACCACCTCCTCGCTTCGTCTTCCAATGTAAAAGTGGCCAACTGTACTTTCTGTGTCTCCAGACATGGGAACACTTCAAATAGCTTCTCAATGCCTAGGACCCAAGCTTTAGCCTTCAATGGGTGTACACCCTTGTGGAACAGTGGTGGCTTCATTTTCTTAAACTCTTTAGTCAAGGCTATTGTTCGATCATCATTTTGTAAATCCGGTATGGGTTACACCAGAGGCGGCCGTTGCTAGTGTTGCCACTGTTGTTGCCATTACTGTTGTTGCCTTAGTGTTTCTATAATGTCTGGTATCATTCTCTTCATTCGGTCTAGCCGGTTAGTGGAGAACTCTTCTAGTTCATCGGCTCTTGTTCTCACCATTATCTAATCAGATTTGCATTATATTTCACATAGAAGCTATGCACAATATTCGTATACAAAAGAACAAAAGAGTACATTCATGCAATTAGGCAATAGTTATATATATTATAATATAGTTGCATTCTTCGAGTCGCTTAGCAATCCCTCAATGCATTCACACATGTATTTATCATATGAATGCAACTTATGTCTTTTCTAGACACTCTATCGCTCATTTGGACAAGTGTGTGAGTTATTAGTAGTCCTTTGATACCACTCTTTCATGACCCAAACCCGCCCCTACGAATTAGAGTCATAACCGGCCAGCAATCATGAGATTACCTACGGCCTCAGTCAGAAATCAAACCATATTTAATAAAAGGGGGCCAAACTCGGAAAACAACACGTACAAGAATTGTCCAACAAGCCGTGCATACATGGTTTAATCAAAAACTTTCTCATATACATGAAACAACTCACACCATGCAATATTTACGTTATGTATTTGCTACGTATATCCAGGATCATTTTATAGTTTCAACACCAAGTTCCAAGGTTATACACAACGTTGGTCATACCTGACCAAGAGAACAAAAACAAAAGTAAAGCCTCTGCATGAGGCGACCTTGGTTCACCTCACAAAACTTGGTTTCTCAACGCTCACTTGAGCTGGGGTTGGACGTCCCACTTCTCACCTACATACATATAAATACAAAGTGAGCTAATACCCAGTGAATAATAACAGAATAAAGAGGTTAATGAATGAATTTCATTCACAATAAGTCATACTTAAAAATTAAACATTTGAACTACTATCCCCATTCACATACAGACTTGTAGATCACAACAAAACAAAACAACCTCGGGTCCAATACATTATAGCCATATACACAACGACCTCGAGTCCAACTCAATATAAAACAAAACAATCTCGGGTCCAATACTCATTCATAGACCAACATTAGGTCTAATGGATCCATGTACCAAGGACCACCGGTCCTCCATATCATATTACTAAATGACCTTGGGTCCACCATTCTTATATTTATAATTATGCACAAATGATCGTGATCACATCCATACTCTTATTCAAAATGATCTTTGGTCCAATTTGTATATAAGATGACTTTAGTCTATCCTGTTAATCATTCCAAAGGGCCTTAGGCCCAATCCGTGTCCTCGTCTAATATCCAAAATGGCCTTAGGCCCAATATGTGTCCTCGTCAAACATGCCAAACGGCCTTAGGCCCATTTCATACTCATATATCAATCACTTCACATGCTTTACTACAAATCAAGCAAATAGAATACTCATTTATAGTACAAATTCATAGAATCAGAAATTTAGCATGTAGGTAACATTTAGAAAACAATGCATACATAAAAATATCTTTGTTAAGATATTACTCATAATGTTCCGGTGCTTCATTCATCCATGCGTTTGACCCTACATAATTCATAACACATAGGGTCATAATACAATTCATTATGTTCTTCAATTTACTTAATGTTCTTAGGCTTCTTCTAGGCTCTTTGATTCATTTAGTGTACTCAATGCATGCCTAAGAGTGCTTAGAAGTAAAAAAGAACGAAAAAAAAAACTAAAACGTCTTTTCAAAATTTCTGAAACAGGGCCCTCTGCTCAAGCACAACTTCCTTTACTTGAGCGCGGATTCAAAAGTAAGGGTGGTCGCTTGAGCGTAACTTCCATCACTTGAGCTGACTATAAAAGTACTGATTGTGTGAATTTCCTGCTCGACGATCGCTCGACCAGAATACTAAGTAAAAAGGGTCCTCGCTCAAGCGCCACTTTGGTCGCTCGAGCTATCTGTAAGATTTTGTAAAACTTCTGGGAGCTCGATTTCCACGCTCAAGTGACACTTTCCACTCTGTAGACCCGACTTTCTTCGTGCGGCCCCCTTTCGGAGAGGCGCGAATTTGGTCTTACTATTGTTCGAAATCCTATCACGGTTCTAAATCTAATCTCACAAAGTGCAATGTGAGACTAATAAACACCAAGGAGTCCAAATCTGGTAAATCGTTTTGGAAAATCAATTTTGAATAAAAAGCGCCAAACATAGACTACTTTGCCAGATTACAGAGTCGCCACCTAAATATTTTATTTTTTAGAAATTTAGGAAACCCTGACTCGTGCCAAAAGCCACATGTCCGTCATCACCAAAGTTGCCTTGGCTCGGGAACTTGGGTACGAGAGGGGAAGGTCCTGAAATGAGCAACCCCTGCTCGCCCGATCAAAGGATCGGCCTCTACTAAGCATGATATGTTGTTTTATAAACACATGTGTTCTTATTCTGATTATTAGCTAACTTTACTATGTGATGCGCATAGCATACAAGTATAGACTATATCACATGAATTGGAATGAAACAATTCATGTTTGTTTTCAAAAATGGTATGAAAGTGCTACTTGCAAGTAGGCTAAAGTGTGGATTTGCCACCCTCAAGTGGGCTTGAATACATGATTTTTCCACTTCGCAAAGTGGGCTTAAAACTCACAATCATCAAGTTGTTCCAATTCAGGCAATCAAGCCTTCACCCACAGGCATTCATGCAGTTAATCACTTAAGCAAATAGCCTCATTGCAAGCATGTTTATCATGGCAGCACTCACACTCATGCAAGTATGCTAAAGCGTAACACTTACAGTGCACTCCAGGCCAAAACAAAAGCTAGTTAAAAACAATGCATGATCCTAACTATACAAAATGCCTAATGCAACACCTGCAATAATGCAAATAAAAGGCTCGGCTATCTAAAATGGAATATGAATGCGACAATTGATACACGTATTCAAAGAGGTACATTGAAATACAATGCAGTTTGAATGATGCGCCGAGCCCGATACATACAAGACAAATGAATGATGCAAACATGCAAGCATAAGGTATGCTAATCAAAACGTGCCCTAAACTAACCATTGAAAGCGCTAAGTAAAAGGGAGAAAGATGTGGGGTTGGAAGACATGCACACACGCACGCACGCACACTTATTACAACAATATGCCCTCTCGAAGGAGGGTCCGAATAAATAAGAGCTAAGCTACTCTAAGCTAAGCTAATTATTACAAGCCACCTAATTAACTAACTTAGCTAATTAATTATTACAAACCAAATTAAAACGAATAGCTATGCTAATCTAATTAGAATATTACACAAACTAATCATAAGCAGTGAAATGGCCTCGTGGGCGAGGGAGACATGCATGCTCCGTTGGCGTCCTCCCGGAAATCCATTGTTTTGCTGTCAATTGCCTCTGTTTGCACTTGCCTTGATTGCAGAACATAGAACCAACATCCAGACTGCCTCTGCCTCAAAACAGGAACATTTTGGCACAAAAATGGACTGGTGGCCGGTTGGCCACAAAAAGTGGGGTCGGCTAGTGAAAGTGGTCGGTCGGCTACCTCAAGTGGCCGGTCAGCCACTTGCTTTTCCAGACTTCTGGTTTTGCTGCAACAGAGAACAACAGAGGCACAACAATGTATTTGCAAGAAAATGTATGCACTGCCACTCTCCTCATCACGTCTCAAGCTCAAAGGAGTGTGGCACTTGGCTCTCAAGCCACTAACCAAGCATTTCAATGCTTGATGGATCAAGGACCAAGCTTGTGCAAACTTATTGAATGCACAAACAAGACTCGAAGTGCCTCTCCCCTATTGTGTAGCGACCAAGAAACGCAACACGTTTCATCACTTTAAGTATGAAACGTCTCGCATTTCTTGTGTTTAGATTAACATCCAATCCAAACACATGCAATGCAACATGAATTCTTATCTTATACATGTTTTACTTGGTCCATTTCTTGTTTACTCATTTTACATTACCAAACCATTCTTTACTTGATTTACCAAATGTGAAAGTCCTCTATTTGGAAAGATGGCCTAAGCCACAAGTGCCTTGAGCATGAAAGAAGTTTCATGCTGTTGGTTAGTAGAAACCCTCAAGGGAGGATTAAAACCATTAGGCATGAATGCCTCAATTTCATACTCAAGCCGACAAGGGGCTCAAGACCACTTTCAAAAGCAAATTCAAAAGTGAAGAACAAAGGGAGATTGTAGACTTTCAGTGTTGATATGGCATGCTAAAGACACTAAATCATGCAAGCAATTCATGCGCAACATGTTCCAAAGCCAAAGGCATTAAACTAGTGAAGAGCATAACACTCTGAGCATGCAATACAAAGCTCAAAAGGGACCAACAGTCCAAAACAATCCTAAAACACCCTAAATAGAGTTCTAAAACATGCTTGAAATAAGCTAAGAATAGCTATATTAAGAGGCCAAAACAATAGCACATGCTAGGCAATTTAACACAATTGCACTACAAGCATACAAAACAAAGCTCATGTGATCAAACCAACTCAAAACAAAGCTTAATCATGCCAAACCAGTAGCTAAAACATGCTGGAATTGAAGCATAGATGGCAATAAAATCATGCACACATGTTGGCTCGCAAACAAGACACAAAACACAAATCTTAGAAGCAATGAAAGAATGATATATGTGAGAGTGTGACAGTGATATATGCACTAAAATTACATGCTAAATGATGCTATGGCATGCAAACAACCCAAGCAAAGCATGTTGGAAGCCTTAAATCACAAAGCTAGTGAAGGCATTTGCACTATAGTTATACAAAGCATGAGCCATATGATCAAAGCAGCCCAAAACAGAGCTAAAGTAGGCCAAATCAGTAGCTAAAATGTGTTGGTGTCAAGCAAACACAAGCTAGAATAATAGACTAACTCATTAGGCATGCTAAGCTAGTAGGCAAGATTACACTACAAGTGCA